TTTTTTTTTTTTTTTTTTTGCAAGAAGCATTTCATATATTTTTGCTGTTCCGAGCAGCAGTTTTTTTCCATTTTAGTTTAGCTGGCTTTGGTCAATAGTTGTCAAAACTAGAATCGGGGATACTCACAAATTATAAGTTGTTGCTAAATTTAAGGCTGAGAAATCCTAAGCAAAAGTAACAATTTCAATAGAAATGGTACTTTCAGAATCTTACTGCTCTTTCTTGGCAGGATGGATATAATGAATTATAATTCATCACTGACTAGATTTTGACTGATTCATGTAGGGTCCTAACTACTCTTATCTTGTTCAGCATGTACAGCTTAAGGGACAATGTAAAGATATTTGTCAGATCCCATTTGTTCAAATCTGCTCCTATTTGGTGTCTAATTGGGATTCATAGCACAATGTTCAAGAAAAATGCTCTACCTTGAACACCATCTGGGGACATAGAACCAGTAACTCCTAAATTATTTAATATTTAATAAATGTGCATGCACTTATGTGTGTATTAGCATGAATGATGTTCTTCCATGAATGTTATCAATAAGCTATTTTAAAGAATGTATTATATTTTGACAAGAATTTCATGAATAAAGATTCAACAGGGACTTTTATGAACATTTTTTTTTCTCAGTATAGAATTCATTATTTCAGAATTCAAACAAAATCAATTAAAAGATTGTTGTCTTTCTGTATTATTTAAAGATTCTAATAAGCAAGTGATTCTTATTAGCAAATGTGATCAGAAATATGACCCAATTTTACTGGTAGAAAACTTTAGAACAATAAAATCTTATATAGTATTCATTGAAATTGAGCTGAGAATTTTTTCCTAATTGTGAATTAAGATACATCAGGATTCATCTTTTCACAGGAAATGAAATTATAAATTTTGTCTGCAAATCCTTTTCACCATTTACTAAAAATTTGATTTGTAGCAGTCATCTAATTCTCTGAACATGAGATAGTACTATAATTACCTGGAACTAATATGTTTCTACCAGGGAATAAAAATATTAGATTAATGTATTCTGGACACAGCAATCCAGATTCTTTCTCAAACTTGTTCACCAAACAGGAGGCCTCAACAATACAGTGTTGTTTAAAAGTTTGTGAAACACTTCTGAATTTTTATATTTCTGTATAGATACAACATACAGTGTGATCTGTTCTCCATCTTAAAATTAAATAAAGAGAACTCAATTGAACAAATGGGTGAAAAATATTTTACTGGTTTATTTATTCGTAAAAATTGATCCAAAGCTACATATTCGTGTTTGTACTTTTTAATAACAGGTGTGCTCTTGTACAGCAATCACTGGAGCTAAACATTAACAAGAATTGTTGATCAGTCCTATGTATCAGCTTTGAGGAATATTACCTCATTCATCCTTACAGAACAGCTTCAACTCAGGGATCTTGGTTGGCTATTGAATGAACTGTCTGCTTCAGGTCCTTCCACAACTTTTCTCCAAGACTAAAGTCAAAATTTTGATTTGATCATTTCCTTCTGCTTTTATCATTCTTCGGTCATACAACTCTGTTTGGGCTATCGATTTGCTGCATGATAAATTTTGTCTTGAAATCAGTTCATTGACAGATACCCTGACATTTTCCAGTAGAATTTGCTAATACAATTCAAAATTCATAGTTCCATCAATGACAGCAAGCTGTTCTGCTCCAGAATGGCAAAGCAACCCCAAATTATGACATTGCCACCACCAGGTTTCAGCAAAGGGATAGGTTTCTTATGCTGTAATGCACTGTTTGCCTCTCACCAAACCTAATTCTTTTCATTCAAGACAAAAAGTTCTGTTTTGATTTTATCTGTCCATAGAAAATTCTTCCAATAGGCTTATCCACGTGGTCTTTTGCAAACTGTAAAAGAACAGTAATATTTTTTTTGGACAGCAGTGGCTTTCTCCTTGCAAGCCTTCAATGCATCCCATTGTTCTTCAGTGGTCACAAGAATTGACATTCACCAATGCAAGAGAGGCCTTTAATTCTATCTGTTACCCTACAGTTTTCGACATCTCCCAGAGTATTACATATTTTGCTCTTGGTGTGATCTTGGTTGGTCAACCACTTCTAGAGAGGGGAACAGTGGTGCCAAACTGACTCCATGTGTACACAACCTGTCTGACAGTGGACTGGTAGAGTTAAAGCTCTTTGGAAATAGTTTTGCAAACTTTTGCAGCCTGGTAAGTATTTAGGTCTTCAGTAATTTCTCTTGTTCAAGCTATTACAAACTTCCACATACCTGTGTTGTAAAGATCAGATTTTGATAGTGAATACTCAGAACCTCCAACATTCACATCTGATTATCATCCCATTAATTCAACCATCTGATTCTAATTAGCCCTTCAAATGAATCATTAATCCTAGAGGTTTATCTACTGTTGTTATCTAGAAATCAGCCTGATTTTTTTTAATCCAGATATGATAACCTAAGTATGGGTATACCTCAGTTAAGAGAGCAGACTTCCATTGATGGGAGTTGAACACTTTCAATACAAAAGTCTGTTATTTAATGTTTGAGTTCCACAAGTGGAAATTCCAGGGCAAAGAAATGGTTGGAGACAATAGTGAACCCTCTAAAGCCAAAACGCCTTCATTTGCAGAAAATGTCACAAGATCACCCATCTCTTTGGGCAAACCTGGAATTTGTATTAATAATTTGCCACTTATATTAGATGAACAGAAAACAGAAGAAAAATACTTCCCCGACTATTCTCATCTTGAATGGCACAAGCCAAAAGGACTTTATTTTTTAAAATAATATTATTGTTTACAAATACAAGGAAATATAGAGTAAGATAAACTAAGAAAAATATAAACAGTAAACAAAAGAACGAAAGTGAAAAAATAAAAAAGGTATATAAAAGATTGTTTCCCCTCCCCCCCACAGACAAGTATAAACAATTCAGCTAACTTAAGACCTTCTCTAGCACTTCATTTTTTTAAAAAAATATCTCTTCTTCCCATATGTAATCTATTATCAATAGTCAAATTACATAAAATGCATCATTCAATCTCTCCCTATTTATGCTGAAATCTTTAAAGCCTTGTCATACAATCCTGGACAAAAAGAAATCCCATTAACAGCTACCAGAAACTGCAACATATACATATACGGGGCTTATGGAGCGAAGGAACTGGATGAGGCTGTCGGCAGGCCCAGAGGATGGGAGAGAGGCTTTTGGAGGAGTTGGTAGCGGCGGCAGCCTTCTCCAGGGGCGAAAAGGTGTGAGGCCTCTTTAAGGAAAAGGTGGAAGAGACAAGATCAGAAAAAGAAAGGAGGTGAGGTTGTCGTGCAGGAATATAAGCTAATTTGAGGGATAATCCACATGGAGCTCCATTTCCATCTGTCCTGTTTGCCATCGTTCACTCCCTAGAGACTAAAATGGAAGATCTGTAACTTGAGCTGGCCACGAACAAGGAGTGTATATCGGAGGTGGTGACCCTTTGAGAGCTGTATGCAACGAAATTTCATTTTGATGTATGCCGATTGGTGTACTTTCAAAGTGACAGTAAAGTTATTATTATTATTATTTATTATTATTATTATTAATTTAACCCTTATTAAACAGATTCACATTATCATTTTTTTTTCATTTTTAAAAAGCTGGCTCTTTAGTCCCATTAAGTAGTGTCCCACAAGTTGATTTCTTCAGTTTCGCGGTCTCCTTCCTGGAACAGCTTGAGCAGTTTCTCTTTGTCTCTTCTCAGAAAGAATTTCCTTGGTTTATTATTTATTCATTTATTTGTACCCCATCTTCTATATATTGCTTTTCCAAGTCACTCTTCTAATTTATTGTTTTTATGCCCCCTTTTCATTATTAAAATTGTTTTCATTCATAAATCCATTGTGACATTATTTTGCACATAACTCTTATATTCTGGCATTTTAAAAATTAATTTTCAGACTTTTCTCTTTTACAATCCAGTATTTTTCAGACTCCAAATCCACCTTCAAATCAGTCTGTTTAATCCAACAAATTCTGTTGTTTTCTATATCCTGTGTTGTAAGTAAGTGCTGAATAAATTGGTCACAAAAATCCTTCATTTCCTCTACAGTCTAATAGCGCAGTGCATTGTATTAATAGTCTGTTCTTTAAGAGTAATTCTTTGTATTTTCTGTAGCCAGTCCCCTCTTGCCATTTGTTTGTCATCCGTTTGTTTTCTTTTCAGCAAAAAATTTCCCACAGGAGGATTTAACTTTAATTTCAAAAAGTTCATATACAATTTTATTAATTTTTGAACATCCCACAGGAAATGTTTTCTAGCTTATTAACTTTCCAAAATAAACATTCTAATCCCACTTTTGCTGTTTTCCAAAAAAATCAAAGCTTCTCTTGTTAATTCTTAAACTTACTCAGAGCTTCTTTCATTCAGGAGGAAAGGAAACTCTCCCAGTATAGTAGAATTTGGGTTTTGGAAGATTCTTAACTTCAAAGAAATTAGTAGTAAGTAGTTTCCTAAAGTAATTGAGGAAGTATGCAAACACAACGTCTCTTAGCATGGCACTGAGCATGGCTTAGGCAAGATGAATATTTGCCTGGCCCTCAAACTCACTGGAGAGTGCCATTTTGCAATCTCTTCACAGAGAAAATATGTATGAAGCAGTGGTGGGATTCAAATATCAGAACAACCAGTTCTCTGCATGGATGCAGGCCTGGGACTCCGAGACCTAGAACGGACTTCCGGAAGTGGCATCCATGCACTTCCGGCGGGCTTTTCTAGGCCTGGGAGGCCTCCTCCAGGCCTTCGAAGCCTAGAATGGACTTCTGGAAGCAGTGTGCATTCAGCCGGTTCTCCGAACTCAACAAAATTTAGCTAGCGGTTCTGCCAAACCGGTGTGAACTGGCTGAATCCCACCACTGGTATGAGGCCATAAACAGGTGTGCCTTATCTTCTCCTTAGTTTTCTGAGAAGCCAATCCCTTCACCAGCTCCTATTTTGACCAATTTGTGGACTCCACTAAAAGCAGAGTCATGCTCAGCCTGCCAAGCTGCCCTGGAGATCTGCAAGCCAAAATGGAAGACACTTTGGAAATGGTAGGAAATCAACACTCTGCACCTCTTCTCTCTAGTCTGGAAAAAAATCCTATAATATTTACCAGAGCTGGTTCCCAACGAATTCAATACAATGCACTTCTGCATAGTTATAGATATTGAGACTATGCTAAAAGTAACTCATAGAGAGCTATGACCACTTTCCACAATTAATAGTCATATTGAGACTTATTTTTTTCTGAGAGAAGCAAATATTTCACAAATGTATTTGCAGGACTTGTCTCTTGAGAGGCAGAATCTTTCCTACACTGAACTCTAAATGGAAATGTTCTGGCTTGAACACAGATAAAGGCAACAGATTGTTAGAATATAAAGGTAAAGATAAAGGTTTCCTCTGCCCAATCGTGTCCGAGTGTAGGGGGTGGTGCTCATCTCCACTGCCTAGCTGAGGTAGTCAGTACTGTTGTTTCTGTGGTCATGTGGCCGGCATGACTATATGCCAAACTGCATGGAACATTGTTACCTTTCCACCAAAGTGGTACCTATTTATCTGCTTGCATTTGCATGCTTTCAAACTGAGAATATATTTGAAACTTAGTGTTCCCTAGGAAGGCATACGTAGTAACATGTTAATAACATTAGATTACTTTGTGTTTACCTTTCCAGAAAGAGGGTAATAGTCAACAAAAAAGTCCAGAGTAAATGGTCTGTATTTTTCAGTTAGTCTCCAACCTTCGGTTATTTCTTCATCAGAAATGACATAGTAGTCCAGTGCCTTGAGTGAAAAAATCGACAATTGTTGTTACACGGATATCCGTTAAAAGTCCGTGTCACCTCATAATATATTTCACTCACGTTATTCTAATCCCGTTTTTCTATTACTTACGTGTAGAAGGTCACAACTTTAAGGTAATAGTACATCTATATTATTAACATTTAAGAAGTACATAGAGGTTTTGTAACCTGGTCCTTCATTAAGATCGACTTTACGGATTGAAAAACAATTTTAAAAGGGGATAAAAATGAAAAATGATTTAATAAATATATTTCTACCCTTGAAGAGTACAGGTAGCCCTTGACTTACAACAGTTCATTTAGTGACCATTCAAAGTTACAAAGGCACTGAAAAAAGTAACTTATGACCCCTTTTCACAGTTACAACCTTTGTAGTAATCATAGTCCCCCATGTTGATGTGATCATGTGATCAAAATTCAGATGCCTGGCAATTGGTTCATACTTATGACTATTGCTTTGTCCCAAGGTTATATAATGACCTTTTGCAATCTTTTGGCAAGCAAAGTCAATGGGGAAGCCAGATTCATTTAACAACCGGGTTACTAACTTATCAACTGCAGTGATTCACTTAACAACTGTGTCAAGAAAGGTCATAAACTGGGGCAAAACTCACTGAACAAATGTCTTACTTAACAGCAGAAATCTTGGGCTCAATTGTGGTCATAAGGCGAGGACTACCTGTATATAATTCTTCAAAAAGCACAACGATCAAATCTGGTCCATAATTACAATTTAGTGCTACCCAAGCTTGCCTTTTCAAGTAAAAAAGAGAAAAAGGCCAGTCAATGTCAACCAATATATTGTTTCTCAACATTGACATTATGATATATACTGGCTGGGGAATTCTGAGAGTTGACGTTCATGCAACTTAAAGTTGCCAAGGTCAATGGGAAAAAAGGAAGAGGGGAAATCACCAAAATATCAGTGTAAAATCAGTGAGTTGATAATGCCTATAAAAATTGATAGTGCGGTAACTAATGCATCAGTTAAAGGGAATAGAAGAATACCAGAAATGAGGTAATGAATTCTCAGGTACACTAGGAGGATCTCCAGATATACCTGAATTTTAGAATCAGAATGATCTAAAAACCTTCCTAAAATTATATAGTTTTCCTCTAGCATTTTTAAGGAGCATTAAAAAGTTTAGTTATTGGAAATTATTAACTCCCCGGATTTAGAAAACTTAAAAACAAGGGGGTTGAATTAGTATAACCAGCTCTACCTAGAGACATTTTTATCTACAGAAACTTCTACGATACTTTTAATATGGCAATTATTTTATAGAAGTTATAGCATAAATTGTACATGGTCTATACAATAATTCTGTGTTGTACAAATTTCAGATTATGAATTTGTTTCTTTATGGACATAGTGTACGTCTTACAAAGTAAAGGAAATATCAACAAACAAAATGATGACAAAAATGCCACTATCTAAAATTTTAAAGGCAAAGGTCTGGACCACAGTTACATACGTGTTCAAAGGCATGATTAGGATTCTCTATTCATATAACATAGAGGGACAGAACCTGATATCATCATCCTGAGTCTGTAAACTTGAGCATTTCTTTAACTGAATGTTAAAAAAAAATAAGTCAGATTCCCTCCTTCCCAAAAATATGCAAGAAAAACAAGGGCAAACTATAACAAGACATGAAACAAGGCAGAAGAATCTTGATCAGCTATATTTCAGGCTGCTAAGAGACTACTGCCATTTGGAGTAGGGCTATTAAGCATCAAACATTTTGAGCCCCAAAACAAAACCCATATCAATTTATAGTGCTTCGGCCCATTAATTTTATCAAAATTAAGTCTAGAAATAAAAAAATTAAATACTGAAAGGAATCTGACTGATTGCCCCATCTTTGAATGCCCTCCCAATGAAATAAAACCTTGGTTTCCTGTAACCCATGGCCACCACATAGAAAGGATCACTGAAATTTCAAAGGAGATATTACACATATTTTAATTTTCATCCAAGAAATATATATGTTTCCAAAGGTGTTCATTAGGTTAGTTATTCAATAAACAGCTGGAACGACCAAAAGAATCATAACTGATTAAAGAATCCATGTGCAGTTTCACTGGAAAACTCCATAATACTAAGACACACCTAGCTTGATGCAAATATTAGGAGCTCTCTTCTATTGGTATAGATTAGATTATTTCAAAAATTACATTTTTAAAGCCATTACTACTCACCTGATTATTATGGAGATCCAATTTAATTAAATTAGTGCAATATTCAAGTGCATCGATATTTGTAAGGAAATTACAAGACAAATCACATATTTTGAGTGAAACACAATATGGCATGCTTCGCAGATCATATAGGTACTGTGCATGCAGTCTAACCATAACAAGATTTCTCAGTTTCTTTGTATCTCTTTCATCAGCAGTTTGGCCATATTCAAGTAGTAGTTTTTCAGAAACACAGACAAGGTATTCTAAAAATTCCTCCTCCATAGTTATCTCTTTTACGGTTTATCCATGAGAGATCTAAAGGGGAGAAAGTATGTAACATTTATTCAACTTTCCTTTAAAAAAAACCTTCAAATACATAAAGTAAATATCTAACTGCTCCATACAGTTCACCTTGCTTTATAAAAAGACCAGCCATAACAGGGAAGCTAGGAAGAAGAAAACATATTTAAGACAACATTTAAGAACATGCAAGCATCTGGGGGGGGGGGGGGGAGATGCCATTTTACATTTTATCAGATAAACAAAACACTTCATACTTCACACACCACAATAGGGTATAGGAATATTCTCAATTGCAAATTATTGATTTGTTTTATTATATGACAGATTTCCTTCTTGGGTCAAGTCCACCAAAACAGTAATATAATATAATGATATTTTTAAAATTATATAAACGGTCTTGAAATCCTATTAAATACCTACTATATCTATCGGAACACTAGTTATTTTGTGTACTTAATTTTCGGTAAAAGTTTTCTTAAGTAAAATTTCGAAACATTTAGGACTTTTACTTGTGTAAATATTTAATATTTTAAAATATTTTAACAAAATATTTTAATTTACCGTCTCCCAAAGTTCCCTATCCCTAAGCTCTGATAAATGACCTACAATCTATAAAGATGAGTCAACCGTCCAGGGCTTCAAAACGCTTATTTAAAGAATTGTATTTTTTTTACTCCTTCTATTTATTTTTGTGTTTGTTTTTAGTTATTCATTAACGAGGCTTATGTGTCACTTCAATCGCAACCAGCTGTAAATAGCATACACTCCAATTCAGTAAATAGATTTGACAATAGTAACACACACAATAATGTATTTTAAATCTTACTATGCCAAGGAATAAGATATTGAAGATACTGAAAAGAGATAAACTATCACTTACTGCAGAGGGGAATCCCACCTCTCAAATCAGTCCAAGAACTGCCAAAGTAGCTAGATGTAATGTCTTTTCTAAATGCCCAAAGGGTTGGTACTGAATTACAGTCTCTATTATTCCTGGATTTTGTAAATTTAAGCTCTAAATCTTTACAAGAATAAAACTGAACTGGCACCAGGAAGACCTAAGTTTTAGTCCTCTATCAGCCTCAGAAGCTGACTGAGTAACTCTTGGTCAATCATTCCCATTACAGAAGAGAGCGTGTTTTGCCTACTATTTTGAGCTCTTGAAAAAAAGAGGGTATATAAATCTAATAAATAAATAAATTACCAGCATTAAGTATCATATATTTAAACTTTGAAAATCTGAGATTTTCAGGATGTCCTAGCTTTAAGAACAGCAATACTTAAAGTTGCAAATAAATGTCAGGCTTAACGTGAAGTCATAAATTCAGTCTAAATTTCATACATGCATAGGCAGACTCCTGAGCAGACAATGTTTAGAATAGCAGCAAACAACAAAGAAAGAGAATCCAAAGTTGAATCATGTAAAATCTCAAGGACAAGTCTTTACAGCTAGGACTTATAAGACAGGAATCATGGAAACCTTCATGGATCAGCACTGTTCCAGCAAACTTCCTAAGCCCTGATTTTTCCCTATAACCCAGTCTCTGATTCTGTCAAACCACAACAGATGTTGACCAGATCGAAGAAGCACTGAAACAATAGAGACTTAGCTTGTTTATATACTATTTAAAATGTAAGACTGCAGGAAGAAATTCCATAAACTACGGTTGCCACACAGAAAGCCTGATCATATCTAGTCCATGTTCCACAAATCTAATGGATTGGAAAGGGCTGAATATGAACTTTGTAGTCCATGTTTCATAAATCTCATAATTGGAAAGGACTGTCTACAGATTCACAGTGGATTGAATCAAACAGGTAGATTCGATCCAGTCAAGGTATGGCTGCTATATTCTAATGCTGTACCATATAAGGCTTTAAAAGTAATGTCCAACATTTTGAACTAGTCTAGAAACCTACTGGCAATTACTGCAGTGATTGAAGCATGTGTTACTCTATACTGGAACTGTCTTGCTGCACATTTTGTATAAGCTATAACTTGAGTTGTTTCCAAAAGCAGCCCTACATAGAGCTCACTGTAATTGTCCAGCCAGGTGGTAAATCAGGGTGTGATCTACTGTAATCAGGATGTCCTGGTTCAAGCACAGTTGTACCTGACGTAGGCAGAAGCTGGGTAAAGCCCATCTGCCTAAGATTTCCACCTACTTGGTACCTGAGCAGGGCTGGTACCGGACCGATCCCCAAGTCATCAGCCAACAGCTGGCCAGAGTAACAACCAGAACCAATATTACCAAGTAACAAGTAAAATTAGTAGAACTTAATCTAGAATTCACAGCCTCCATGCACTAGTTGAGGATTGGTTTAGCATCTGTTTGTTCCCAACAACACAACTGCATGAATTCTAGGGAACTGATGGAAGAATAGGAACAAGTGTGAATTGGGCTGGCAACATGTTTTAATTCCTCAGCTGTAGCAGATTTCAAATGGGGATTTTGTGCAAGGTAAAGCAGAATGGTTTCACGCAGAGATATTATAGTAAATAGAACTGTAACGTAGTTCTAAATGAAGTTTCTCAAAACAATGATGGCTGGTTAAACAGAGTTAGATTAGGGTTGAAATTATGCATATTAAATCCAAAGGCCTTTCCTCTTTATTTCTGTTCCCTCAATAGCTAGTAACACTGGAAGCAACTTCTCTATAAAAGTGCATTTCTATGCACATTTCTAAGTGAAAAAGTTTATTGGAAAAAACCAAATGGAAGTAGTATGCAGATTACTCTTTTGGTCCTACAGTCTATTCTAGTCCTAAACGGTAGTTTCAATGTAGAATCAATCTTGCACAATTGTTAAAGAATATTTTTAAATGTAATATTTTCTAACTTTGCAAAATTAAAATCTCACTTAGGTCACTGGAGATCACTACAGAAGTAATTTATGTAGTCTTAACTGAGTAAGTCATAAAATTAAATGAGACCGTACTTCAATTTTTATGGATCCATTCACCTCATGTCAATATGCTTAGTCATGGTTTAAAGAGATGTCAACTTAATATTTACAGAATTAACAACAAAACTTCAAAATATATATTTCTACACAGTATTTAAAGGCAAGGAAACCACTCACAGTTTCCCATATACAACATTACTTTAAAGGGCACATAAAACTGTCCTTTTGTTATCACCAAGACGAATTTCAGACAATTCCTTAAAGAGAATTCTGCCTTATTCGTAAGACTTCTTTTATTGCAAGATTTGTACATGGTAAAACCACATCAAAGGGCACCGCTGCTTCATTTTCTTTCATTTGCACTTTGCACCTTTATAATCTCTGGGAGACTAGGCATGAGCTCTTAAAATTAAAAAGAGAGTAAAGGTATCTGTCAAGAATCTTAAAATGGGCCATGGTATAGGAAATAAAATTTTCACATATCAATAATCTTACATCAATAATTTTTCCTTAATGCTATTGAAAGTTGCATACCTAGTCAAAATTACAACTGAGATCCACCAGTAGACACAAAAAAACCCTATACAACTGTAAAGTTTATTCAACTGAAATTAACATTTGCTTTGCAACCCCAGTATTAAAATTAATGTAAGTATATAATAACAGATTACCCCATTTGAAGAACAAGAAGCCTAAGCAGAATGTACTTCTTGGTCATCTTTGACTCTTCAGAGAAGAGCATAAAAACTTATTTTGTTGGTAAATGATTATGTCTGTGGAAAAACTGATAAATCAGTTAGTGGCTTAAATGAGAGGTTTCAACTGACAATTACAAATGAAAAATACATTTTACCTTAAGCCACAAACACAGCAAATACTATATTTATTTTGTGAATTTAAATAAATAATGATAAATAAATGAATGCATTTGTGAACTAGTATGATTTTGGCTAGAGGCTCAGAAAATATAATCACCTCTACTGTATTTTAAATGAAGATAATTTGGTTGTTTTTAACACAAGGATTGTAAGAATTGAGGCCTATCTGGGTCATTCTCCTAACAAGGCATTAGTTTCTGAGAAGGAAGCAAACTATTTTGTTTGGCATTATCAGGACTGTCCCCAAACATATTTCTATTACCTATTTCTATGATCAAACATAAAAATAATATAAGCTATTCAAATCTTAGCTCTGTAAAGAAAGAATTTTTCTTTACACAACCACTCCCTTCAGCTCTGTAAAGAATTGGCATGATCAATTCAGAATTCAGCAAGTGTTTTATTTCCCTCTACAATCCTAGGATTAAACTAGACACTTTTTTAGTGAAGTATATACTACTGACCGTGAACCTTTAAGAGAGTTGGTACACATATACATATTAATACTTTTGTGCAGTTGTATCATCAGTACAATATGAGAAATATTTCATTTTTCTTTAACTTGAGAATTTGCTTCTGCTTTGTCTTGTGAACATTATGCTCATACAGACAATTTCTATATAGCAGCTAAGAGAACTTTCAGCATATAGTCAGCAAATACAGTATTCAGTATTTGGTTTCCACTAGCAGACATCTGGGCTTTGGTTGCCCAGATATGGTAGCCTTATCATAGTAAACCCAAAGGTGGTTTTTTTTTTCAAAAGGCAACTGGATTTTCTTGGGTTTTTTTCCTTTGAAAACTTTTTGCTTCTCATTCAAGAAATTCCTTAAATTCTTCAGAAATGTCTTGGATGAGAAGTGAAATGTTTTCAAAGGAAAAAGCCAAGAATGTCCTGTTGCCTTTGGGGGGGGGGGATACCTTTGAGACAACCATGTCCAGGATGATTGAGAATCTGCATAGACATAAACTCAATTAAATTAACTGGATTTATATTCCGGTGCATGTGGATACTAGGAGTAGGATACAAGAGCCTGCCAGCAGAACAAATGGGCAAGCCATAGTTGCAGGTATCTTTGTTTGCACACAAATCCCTACTCTTTGGCTGTACGTCTCAGATATTAGCCTAAATTAATTCAGCCTGTATAATTAGTTCATGATTTGGGGTAGAGCATTCTTAATTTTTTTCCTCTCAGAATCTCTTCCCACTTTTAAAAATTATGGAGGACCCCGCAAAGAGCTTTTGTTTTTAATGGGTTATGTCTATCAATATCTACCAAATTAAAAATTAAAATTGACACATTCACTGCCCCTACAGTGTCTCAAGATTATCTGATGAGATTTCAACATAATTGCCAAATACAGTAATTTTGATTTCATTAATCCCTTCAGGGGGTCCTAAGAATGCCCTTTTAAGAAAAATCTGTTCCTTTTTCAAGGTGATGTGCATACCTGATCTGACCACAAGCAATGGAAGCAAGATTAAGCCCAACAGCACACACACAGACACGCACACAAACCAAAGGTAGAAAGGAGCCTGGAAAAAAGAGCAGTTACCAGCCTGAGGAGTAATTTTTGCTTCTACTCCAACTTTCTCAGGGCAAGGCAGCTGAGAGAATTAAGTTCGCTGGGTACTATGAGACTGGGGATATCGCTCCTTAATGTCCACATTCTTCTCTTAGAGAGATTCCCCCCCCCAAAGGTAGCAACCTTCATTTCCGTTACAAGCTGCTCTCTTAATAAAAGGTATTTAGGTTTAGGTAGAGACAGTTAGATTTCCGGATTAAAAACTTCCCTCCCTCTTGGTTCTTCCCAAGCTTTGCAGGTCAGAAGCAGCCAAAGGCTGTCTCTAAGAAACTCCGGATACGTAACCCATCCAGCTGGGACCCTCGAACTCGGGATCTCCCCTCCCTACCCTCCTTCCAGCTCTTTTCCTCCCTCACTCACCGACTCCCTCCCATCCCAAGCGGTCCCGTCCGCCCGCCTTCCCGGGATAGAAAGCGGGAGCCAGATTCAAAAGACGCCTCTCGGTTGCCTAGCAACCGGCCTCTTCCGCGACACCAAGGCCTGTTCGGCCCGTCCCCGTCCCCGCTAAGGAAGAGGCGGTGGCGTCGTCAGTCTCAGGGCGGAAGCACCAGAGAGAGCGAGGCGGCGTGCGACCCCGGGATGCCGCTGGCGGACGAGGCGGAAGCGCGGCGTCGGCGAGCTACGCGGAAGAGGCTGGAGAAGTTCGCTGGGTTGAGAGGTGGCTGCCTGGGGGCTGCAAGCAAGGGCTGTCGTGGTTTGGGGCCTGGGCGGTACCTTCTTTGGATGGCTAGCCGGATGGGCGGCTCTGAGAATAGGGTCGCCTTTGCTCGTGTAGAAAGCAGCTTTCAAAATCTATCTCCCCCTCTCCCCCCTCCCCCAATCAGTTCAGTGGGTGAGAATTTTTTTAACACTGGCTTAAAATGCCGGGAGCAGGGGGTTGGACTAGATGACCTTCAAGGTCCCTTCCAACTTTACTATTATTATTATTAGTAGTAGTAGTAGGCCTTTGCTATCAGATTGCCTTGCAGTCTTAAGGATTTGGAGGCAAGCTGGCTGAGGAATTCTGGGAGTTGAAGTCCGCAAGTCATAAAAGGGCCAAGTTTGAAGACTCCTGCGCTAATCCATAGTTTACTTAACCATGGCCTCTTGAATAAAGTGCTGTTGGCTTCAGTGTTTCTCAACCTTGACAATTTTAAGGCATGTGGACTTCAACTCCCAGAATTCCACAGCCAGCAAGGCTGGCTGTGGAATTCTGGGAGTTGAAGTCCACATGCCTTAAAATTGTCAAGGTTGAGAAACACTGGGCTAGATGAACTCAACGTGCTGAGCCAAAATCAACCTCTGCTGCAATTTAGTATGATAACTCTGAGCCTGCGTCTGTTTCTGATAAGGCTGTGTGAGACTGCCTCTGGAGCTACACACTCTGGTGCCACAGGCGTGGCACCCTTTGGTTGCCTGCTCTTGGTGGAGGATTTTAGTGCCCTGTGGAAAAATGGCACAAATTGTACATCTGGATTGTAAAGAACTGGAGAAGAGAAGTGTACTGCTTGTTGTCCCAACCTTATAAATTATGTTGAAAAGGTTGGCAGGCACACTCCCGCTCTTCCAGACGAATGGCTGCTATTTCCCCTGCCTTAGCCTTGGGTTTCTAAGAGATCATACAAACCAAGTGTTCATGAGGCAACAGAAAATGGGTGATTTTTTTTATTTCATCTCCTTACAACTGAGAGGGAGGATGTTGTTTGGTTTGTTGGTATCCCCAATAACGTTAGATCCTCTCATTTGGATAGAAAGTTTTATTCAATTGATGCTGAAGAAGAATGTGCAATTGTTATTAGTGGGAAGGACAGAAAATCTGATATGAGAGGAGGACTTATTGCTCATTTGAGAGGCAAATACATAGCATGTAATGAAATTTTATAACAACATTGTAGACTACGCAGATACCCTTTTATTCAAACTTTTCAGTATAACGTCTATGGATTTGCAGTCACACTAAACCATAATTTACTTAACCATGGCCTCTTGAATAAAGTGCTGTTGGCTAGATTAGCTCAACATGCTAAGCCAAAATCAAACTATTACAATTTAGTATGATGTAAGAACCTGCTCCTATTTCTAATGAGGCTTTATAATAAATGAATTTAAAGTTCTTTTTCTTTATGTAGTGGCAAGTAGTTGACATAAAATTTATAGTTCCATTTAAATATAAATTGTATTGGTTCTTAATAAAGGAATGAGCACATCAGTTGTCATTCACTATAGAAAATACAGTGTTCTCATCTTGATAAAGCTAAGCATATCTGACCAATAGGTAGACTGGAAAATTTGTACATGGAATAAAAGCATTTTAGTTCTGTGTGAAGTAGGGGACTGCAAAACTCGCAGAATTGTTCCAGTGAACACAGATATTTTTGTTTTCCTTCCAACCACCTTCACTTCTGAAAACTGTCAAACCCTTGCTCCCTACGCATAAGTTTTGTACAGCATTGGAAAAGCATTTAAAGGACGTATTTTTCAATATGTTGGAGTGCATATAAAGCACTTCTTTTTGAATGGCTAAGCACTTTTGCAGGCTCATGTAACATGGACTTTCTTATGTCCAGTAAATGCAATTTTGTGAAAAGAGCAATCAGGAAAACAATGTTTGATAAAAAAATAAGAAGGTTGAGATTACGACTGCATGCTTTCAAAATGATTTAGAAGACTGCTTTGGAATGCACAGAAATGCAAACAGAACACCTTTTTAATAGAGCCACAGAAAAGATACAGCTACTTTAATAATTTAATCATTAAAGAAGTGTTACATTCATGTTCCCACATGTTCCAAAGTAGCTTTTCCAAATCATTTTCAATACATGCACATCTTTCATTGGCACTTTACGCAGCATGAAGGAAAGCAGTAATGGACCACTATACATCAGAATCAAGTTAATCTGAACCTAAGGAAGAAGAAAATGGCTGAACTTTAGTAGCTAAGTGCAGTGTAAATAAGTTGTAGGTAGGCTATGGTGGTGTTAGAGGAATATCAGTTGAGGCCGACTGAAGTAAGGAGTAGGAATCCCAATTCAAGATTTTAGAGTCTTGTTTGAGGTAAGAACATTTTAAATCAGTTTGGTAATTATATCCCTTGTAATGACATTTCCTTTTTCCAATCAGGTAAAACTGTGCAGACTGGAGAGTTTTGGGATGTTGTTGTAATAACAGCAGTTGATAAAAAGCAAGAAATAGCTTATCAAAAACAATTATCAGAAAAGCTGAAAAGAAAAGAATTGCCCCTGGGTGTGGATTATCATGTTTTTGCTGATCCTCCTGGACCAAAAATTGGTAGGTTCTGCAATTTAGAGAAAGTTAATAATGTTATCAAAATAAAACAAAACATATATACCCATACATACATTCAAAACATTACACAGTCCTTCCAGCAATGGGGCCAGAGCATTTACAGGAAAGATGAGCAAAAGAAACGATGGAACTTATGCCAGAAATTGGAATAGAAATCTAAAAGAGCAGAATTTGCACTGTGAGGTCATAATGTAATCTCAGTTTGCTGCAGACATCCATTCATGATGCTCTCTCTCACCATCATGACTGTGTTGAACTTCTACACGTGGGAAACAGTAGGATTGGAAAGGCTGCCATCATTCAAACTAAATTAAGTACTTCTGTTTCTTTCATTAAAATCCATGGGATTTAAAAAATACATTAGCTGGCTTCTGCCTCAAGTTTGTTAAGTTTAACTTTTCAATCATCTGATGAACAGAAACTGAAGACAGTTTGTGGTTAAATGTTCAGTACAATTTGATTAATTTTCAGACTGATAAAAAGGTTCTCCTTCTGGTGCATATTATGACAGCTGTATCTTTTACTGAAAGATTTCCAGAATGTCATTAGAAGCCAAATTATATTAATTAAACTTTCTAAAATATGTTCAATTACTATTATTATGCTTCTTTTGATTCAAATGTGAAATTCCATTGCTATTAATGATCTGGATGTTCTTTTGGATAACATGTCAATTGAATAGACTCTTAAGGATCTTTCTAGTTTAGGTAGTATTTGTATTAAATTTTACAGTATCTCAGTTTATGAAACTTTTTTCCTTTAAAAAGCATTCTAGGGAGAAAATAGAGATCTGGACATGAAACCTATATTTAATATGAGCTTCATGATTTGTGTTGCATATTACTCAGCATTTTTAAAAATATATAATTAAATATAAATACATAAAACATTTCCATTTTATAGTTTTCAATTCAAACTTTTAAAATATTCTGAAAATTTCACAGCATGATCTCTAAACAGAAAAGAGTACTTCTCATAAAACAGATTAATTCTAATCTTGAGAAAATAGTTTTTCATTTTATTTGCCTGATTTGGCAAATAGGTAACATTTCCATGGCTGTTGTTTGATGTTAGAGTTACAGAGATTACTACTGAGAGTTGCGAATCATCTTTTCCATGACCATTGTAAAAATGATTATGATCCAAGTTGACTTAATAAATTTTGTGATGTTGTGTGATTTAAAGTAACATGACTTTCAAAAAATAGATGTATCAGTTGGTTGCAAACTAATCCTGTTAATTCTTCTTGTTCCTAAATTTAAATATGTGTTGAAATGTTTTGTAGGAAATGGTGGATCAACCCTTCACGCCCTTCGGTGTTTAGAAGAGCATTATGGAGATAAATGGGATACCTTCACTATCATATTAATTCATTCTGGTAATTTTTATCCATCAGCTTATCTTACATTATATAGGATGCACGTCTGTTTGTTTTTTCCCTGAAGAGAGTAGTGAAGATGAATTGGGTTTCTTTCCACTACAAAATTATACTCAAAGTCAGATAAGCATATTTAGGTTAAATTATAGCCTGAAATTATCTTTAAAATTCTGCTCAAAACTCCTTAGGGAAAGGAAAGACTGTAGAACAAATAATAGTATTAATGACCCACAAAAATTCAGTTATTTATAATTTACATAAAGCTGGAAAGAATAAAGTATGACATTGATAGATAATATCGAATTTGGAAAGCCTTTATGATTTTTGGCAGAATGATTTTACAACTCACTAGAAAGCAGTCATTTCAGTGTCATTGTGCATTAGAATATGATGAATCATATATCCTTTGGTTTCTTATATTGATGTTTGGAAGTAGAAGAAGACAAACACTCTGTAACTTCCTCCACACAATGTAAATGCTGAAGATAGAAGCACAGCCTTTTTAAATGAAGGTTTATAGCAAATAAGTGAATTGTACAAGTTGAGGGTTCTTCCAGAGTTTTCATAATAGAAATGCAGGGTGCAGGAGTTCACCAGTTTAATATGTATGTTAGCTGTAACCTATCTGAAGAGTCCTGCCTTTGTGCTGGTTGTACATTTGGCTCTCTATGTGAGATAATCATTTAAAGAGAATTCAACAACTACAGTTTATGCACAATGAAGCCATCCAGGTCTTTGTGCAAGTTGAACTGCACTACATACAAATGTGTTTCTGAGTTCAGTGTAAACCTCTAAAGCTTTGACTTCAGTTCTCTGACCATACCAATCTCCTCACAATTTTTACTTCTTTGCCATTTTTATAATTATATTAACTCTTTTATCCTACAACTTTATGTAAATTGCAGATTTATTTTTTAGCATTGTTTTTTTTTTAAAGTCTGTCGCTGAAATATTTTGTAGAATCTTTGTCCAATTGAAGTGATTTTATTTAGTAACTTCTCTAGGTCAGTGCATCTCTGTGTATTTTCTTTGGGTTGGGCCTTATAATCTCCTCTAAAAAGTTGTGCGGACGTTACTCCTGATTATATTCTCCTCCTGCTGCCCCTTACCATCATTTCAAAATCTGATTTAAAAGGTGTGGGGATTCTTTAAAGCAAATGGTAAGAATTTGCAAAGAAAGGGGGGGGGGAAGGCAAGTCCATTCATGAATAAAAGAGCATTTACACAGCACTGGACTAATCCTATATATACTGTATAATTTTAAGAAACAATTGAAGCAATGACTATCTTAAAGTATGCAGTATTCTACTATTTGCTCTTTATGCAGCATCTAAAAGTAGCATGTATATCAAACTAAGTTATAATTAAGAATCCCATTATTTCAGAACAATTGTATAAATTGAGGACAGCTATCAAAATTTGAATGTAAGCTTTTACTTGCTTTGTAAATATTTACAATTTTTAAAAACAATGCAATCTGTTCTTAGCCTTTGTAATATTTATATCTATTTATATCTATATCTAAAATCCACTATATCCTGGGTTTCGTGCATCATGTAAATAATATATACACAAGATATGAAAGAATCAACCTCAAGTAAAATTCTTTAGAATCTGGATGTATATGAATATAAACACATGCATGCTTTATTTATATTAAATATTCTTCATTTTTTTGTGTTTTTATAAAGGTGGTTATAGTCAACGTTTACCGAATGCCAGTGCCCTGGGAAAAATTTTCACAGCTTTGCCTTGTGGGGATCCAATTTACCAAATGCTTGATTTGAAATTAGCCATGTACATTGATTTTCCTGCTTGTATGAATCCAGGTGTTTTGATTACATGCGCAGATGATATTGAATTTTATAATATTGATGCAACAGAACTCCTGAGGTTTAATCAGCCTGGATTTACTGCATTAGCTCATCCTTCCAGTTTGAGCATTGGTACATGTCATGGAGTTTTTGTATTGGAGCCTCCATTATCCCTGATAGAAAAAGAACTTGAGTACAGATCTTGTAATCTTTTTCTGCATAAGCCTAGCATTGAAAAAATGTATCAGTCTGGAGCAGTGTATAAAAGGAATAATTTTCAAACATTACCTCCTGGGGACCTGGGGGATTCATTTATGGAATCTGAGTTTGTATATACAGATAGCTTATTTTACATTGATTGCACCACTGCAAAACTGATGCTAACATTTTATAAACAGATAGGCAAACTTTGCTATGAAATAGATGCCTATGGTGACTTTCTGCAGGCATTAGGGTCTGGAGCAACAAAAGATTATGCAACAAAAGTTGAAAATGTCACAAAAGAATCGTGTCTAATAGAAATAAGGGAGAAGATGTTTAACATACTAAAAGGTTTGCCTCTCAATGTTATACTCCTAAATAATTCCAAATTCCATCATATTGGAACTACTCGTGAGTGTTTGTTTCATTACACTTCTGATAGAAAAATGAAATTGGAGTTGGGTCTGCTGCCAAATATTTTTAGCATCTGTTCAAACAAGGTGGAAGACTTGGATAAATCGGCATGTATCATTCACAGTATGCTTAGTTCAAAGTGTTTTGTTGCACCTGGTTCACTAATTGAATATTCTAGATTGGATTCCAAGGTTTCAGTAGGGACAAACAGTATCATCAGTGGCTGTTCCATTGACACAGAAGCAGATATACCACCAAATACTTTTATGACAACTCTGAGCATAAGAATTGATGGAGAATTAAAGTATGTGAGCATGGTGTTGGGCATAGAAGATGACTTGAAAAAGAACGTGGCAAATCTTGCAGATATACACCTACTAAGTTTTTTTGGCATTGGTCTTAAACAATGCTTAGAGCTTTGGGGCTTGAGAATTTCAGATGAGCTCTTTTCAGGGGACAAAACATGTCTGAGTTTGTGGACTATTCGAATCTTCCCTGTATGCTCTTATTTAAGTGATTCGGCGAAAGTGTCATTAGGGATTTTAAACTCAGTGCAAAATAAGTCCCCATTTAATTTAGATAGTTTTAAGCTGTTGTCTATTGAACAAATGCTTTGCTACAAAGATGTTGAAGATATGCTGAAATTCCGGCAGCAACTTTATGAAGAAATCAATCTGCAGAAAGTGAAAGAGAAATCTATTATATAGAAGTGGCTGAAAAATGGTACTTTCCTCCATATTTTAATTCAATGAGGGCTAATTGCTTTCAAGGTTTCCAAACCCCAGAAGCAAGCACTATGCATATTTTTGTGTTTCATTGAAGTAGAAATAATGAAACTGCATTAAGACTGTTATTGTAGCATAACATTAATAATGCAAAAAATGCAGATAAACTATTCTTTTGATGAAAACATTAATGAAATATTTTGAAATCTATAAAAACACAAAGGAGGAAATTTTCTTTGCTTCATATTACGTTTTCAGGGTTTTTATTAATTCAAGTGGGAAATAAAAGTTATTAATTAGGTATTTGATTGAAAACTACTTAAAACTTTTTACATAGAAAAAGTTGTTTCTGACAACATTCTTATTTTTCAGGTTTGTTCGTTACAAATAAGCAATAAAGTTATGTTATTTCTTAAATGTATGTTCATAACACTATTCTGTGTTTCATGTGTAAATCTGACATCTGTTTACAAGGCTGAGGTCAAATGAAGCAAAATAAATTGAAATGTGTAAATTAGGTAATCAGGATTTTGTTTAAATATGTTTCTTTCTGAACATGAATGGTACTGAGAAAACTGTCATATTTTGATATAGTTATAAGATAAAGATTATTAATAATTCTAGGCATATCCTGGCATTATCATTACCACATAATTATGGATTGCTTTCTTCAAAGGTTATATCTAAAATATGCAGCTTTAACCTAATTTTGTAGAATGATCGTGTCAAAATAATAAAAAGATGATTTTAAAATGCCTATTTATTAATCAATTGCCTGCCCATCTCACATACGTACTGGGTGGCTTACAATTAAATAGATAAAACATATCAATAAAAATGGTAAAAATCACTATTAACATGACCAGGAGATAGGCTCCATCACATATTTGGAACCCCAGGTTCAAGCACAAAATAAAAACAAAATCAAGTTTTCAAGACCTGACAAAAGATCAGCTGATATAACCTGCCAGCTGATATTGCTTAGCCAACAATACTCAGAAAATGTCCTTCCTGCCAGATCTGGAAGGACAGAAAATGGGAAAGATTATAAATATCCTGGTTCCAAGTCATGAATTGTACCCAGAAACACACTGGAAACCAGTGCAGCTTGCAGAACAGTGGTATCATGGCAAATAACCAATTCCATTAACTGCACAGCCACAATCTGCATTATAGAATACTCTTCAAGGGCAGCCCTATATATGTTGCAATACTCCAGTCTGGACGTCGCTCTCTGTAAGTTCTTTGACATCCATCTGACAAAATATATATTAAATAAAATAATATTATAATAAAATATATATTATTTTCAACTAGCAGGTTCTTAAAATTATGATATTTACATATCTACAGTTTTCTTCTATTAACCTTTTTTGGAAATAGATTCTGGGAATAGTCTAATCTAAAAACAAATTGTAATTCAGAATCTAGCTAAAGTCTGAACAAATAAGAACATTATTGTGTGAGTTTCAGGCATGAATCCAAAGCACAGAATTTTCAAAATACCAAATTGTCTCTCAAGGATCTTAAAATCTGAAGTGATGCAAGCAAAAGCAATCTTCTCACAAAACATCAAACCCACTTTGGAGATACTTCTTGTTTATGAAATTAACCCTATACATCTTTTAAGCTGAGTGGAGCTTTCCTAGTTATGCATAAAAGTGAAAACGTAAAGAAGGATGAAGGGAGGGAAAAAAGACCAGGGGGGTGAGGATAGCCTGGCCAACAGTGACAGTGAGCGGTGTGTGATTTTTGAGAATACTGTGAGTGTCTCCTAGAAGTCTATGTTCTTTGCTTGGTAGTTATTTTTTTTCCTTTTCTTTTTTAGTTTCTCTCTTCATTGTTTGGCTTTGTAATTGAGATTAAAAGGAGGGGGTGAGGACTTGCACTTCTTGCATAATGGGATATACCTTAGTAGCATATGGATGAGTCAAACAGGGAAGAGGAAAGAGATAACCTCACTCGCTCTGGTATTGAACTTGATGCAAAATCTAAAATCTTGTTTAGGCAGATATCTGAGAGGGCAACATCACCGACCTCCATCAGCCATGTCTCAGTGATGTATGCCAAGCCTAGCCATTCATCCATCACTAGGTCATATATGGACATGGTCTTGTTACAGACAGCTCTCCATGCTTTTGTTCCTTTTGTTTTTGCAACAATGTTGTGAAATCATTAAGCTAAAAATTATGGCTAAATGAAGATCCATAACTGTGTTTTTCATAACTGAATCAGTATTTCACTTCCAGTGAAAAGATAGCCAACTGACTACATGCCCAGGGAGGGATTCCTGAAGGGTTTTCCCCTGGGCTCTAGCTTTTTCAACTACCAACAGAACAAACCAGCATTCTTTTAGTTTATATAACTCTCCTGTGTTAGAGAAAGTCAAAGATTTATCCCTCAAGATCCTCTGATACAACAAAGGTCTGCAAGTAGCTTCAGGAGCTGTGCTTCGAAGAAGCCTGTGTGCCTAAATTTGGGGGGCAAGGGCTACAATCTGTTGTTGAAGAAAGAGCCATTTTGGAATTTACTTTTCAAATGGACAGTACGTTGTGCCTTAATCATTTCTTAATCATTTTTAAGGACTATTAATCTTTACTTAGCTAAAAGGGGCTCTCTTTAGCTACAACCTCCTTTTTGAAGATCTGCACCATTTTGGGGATTTCTTCAATATTAAACAACAAGGAAGAAGGCTGCTAAAGCAAGCCAAAATAAGGAAGTGTGGACTATCTTTTTCACACAAAAAAAAAGTTGACAGAGAAATTATAGGCAGAAAGTTGTGGTTCTACTTTATTATTTTTAGTAATTTATACCTTGGTCTGCTTTGCAGTGGGTGGCTAAAACTTTCCGATTTTTATGATTCCTGATTGGCCAGCAATTTTTAAGTGATTTACAAAAAAGCTATTCTTTGACTAAAGGACTTAAGAAGATGAAGGAGCAGATTATTAGAGATGTATCTGAAAAATCTTTAAATAAAATCCACCAGTTCATAGTTCAGCTATGTTCCAAGAATGTTAAACAACTTCTCAAACTACTTAAGAGATGCAAATATGTGTAGAAAATTAACAAACCACTGAGGCAATTTCACAAGTAGCTGACAATGCAGAGAGTCAGTTGCAATTTTGGAATATAAACCTGACACCAAATCTTATGTTGGTTTAAATATAAACCTCCCGATACAATTGAAAGAAGAGCTCCAAGAAAATCTGCAACTTTTAAAAAGACAAGTTTGGGGATTTTTCCTTATGGACATTAACAAGGTTGAGAAATCCCTGAAAAAAAGAGAAGCTTATAACTATTTGACAAATATTCCAGAGAAAAAAAAGACTTTATGAAGACAAACTGGAAGGAGTGACTTAAACTTAATGAGTCAATTGGAATGAGGATGGATTTCATATATACACATATACGTACGTACGTACGTACGTACGTACGTACGTACGTACGTACATACATACATACATACATACATACATACATACATACATATATATATATATATATATATATATATATATATATATATATGCCTAACATGCAGACAGCCCAGGTTCGAATCTCAGAAGGGTATGTCTGGTTGAAAAGAACTAAAAAGTTCGAAATGGCTATTCCAGTTCTCCCTTAATTCTTTGTTAACATTAAACCACAAACTGTTTAATACAAGTGCTGAGCTTTCGTCGCCCAACACTACACAAATAGTTTCCAAGGTTGCTGTTCTTTTTCTACTTTTCTTCCCCCCAATCCCTTTCCTCATGTGCATTCAACTGTCAAATTGTGCCAGGTGCTTTTGCTCACCCTCTCCCTTTGTCTCCATCCCAAGCCATGTCTGTTCTTCCCCAGTGGGGCTGACAGATTGTATAGGGCACTTTCGCTCACCCTCCCCCCTCATCTCCATCCCGATGTCTGTTGTTTCTTCCCAAATGGGATTGTCAGCGGGATGTACGTTTAGCACAATCCTCCCACCCCTCCGTGCTACCACTCCTGCGCATGTGTGGGTGTTCAGGAGCCGGTCTGTCAAGTGGGTCTGGGCATTCGTTCCGGAGGTTTCCGATGAACTTGCTCTCGTGTGCACGCCTCTACTCGGGAGCACTGTCCTTTCACAGGGATGCGCGCGGGCGCACTTGAGGTCTCCCTCTGGCCGCTCGCTCTCATCATCTTCCCTCTCCTCCATCGCTCACCATAGCCGTATCCCCATCGCTGGACCATCCGCTGGGCGTGCGCCTGGCCCTGTTTCACCATTCGCCAACTCTCTTCCCCTTCCTGCACGTGTGTGGGCTCCCAAGAATTGGTCCCCCGTCAACCGCTCACGGCCATATATATATATATATGTAATTGAAAGTCTTAATCTAAAGTTTGAAAATGTATTTTTCCTTTATATATAGTGCTTATGTAATTCCTAAAGTTTGTAAAATATTATTGAATATTTGAGAGTACTTGAGAGTATCTATTAAGCGAAAGTTAAAGAAAAAGATGTATTAGTTTAAAGAAAAGTTTAGAGTTTTAAAAAAGGATGTATACAAGAAGAAAAGAATATTCTATGAAGGTAACTTGGAGGGAGTGATCTAAATTTAATAGTGAACTTTGAAATATGCATGTAAAGAGGAAGTTTAAAAAGATGTATTAGTTTAAAGAAAAGTTTAGAGTTTTAAAACGGATGTATACAAGAAGAAAAGAATATTCTATGAAGGTAACTTGGAGGGAGTGATCTAAATTTAATAGTGAACTTTGAAATATGCATGTAAAGAGGAAGTTTAAAAAGATGTATTAGAAAGTTTTGATTTCAGAAATGTTTTTAAAGAAAAGTTTAGTATTTTAAAATGGATGAAAAAAAGTATTTTTCCCTTTTAGGTTAAAGAACCTGAAAAAATACGGTGAATTTTGTTAATATAAATGGTGATAATTTATAAAAATTATTAATTGGAAATAGAAATACATATTATTTCTACAGCAAGGGAAATAAAGCAAAAATTGTTAAATTGATTGTTTTATTCAAGGAGGAGAATATATTTAATTATTTGTTTTATTTGGATGTCACTTCTGGATTTTGTGCTTGTGGTGAAAAATGAAATTTTGACTTTGGTTTTGTCAATTAGATTTGTTGTTATAGAAATGGCTAGTTATATACTAATGTGTAAAAATAAAAAGTTGAGACTGGAATGTTTTTTATCTTGTACTGTGCTAAATAGAATCGGAAGTCGACACTTTTTTCTTTCTTCCCTTATACCTCATATTTTCTTTTCCCCTCTCTTCTTCCTTCCCTTAATTCCTTATTTTTATTTTTATTTGTATTTTATATATTGATAAAACAATAAAAGTCATTAAATGCAATGGCTAAAAAAGATTCAGACCCAAATATTCCAGATGATCTTTGTAAAGCTTAGCAGTTAATAGGTTGCACAATAGCACTCTTATTAGTAAACTGGAAGGTATTCTTTTTTGCTTCCAATTTTGCAGAGCTCATATGGTTACCCTCTCTTTTCTTCAGAACAATTCAGTTAAGATCATAACGTAAGTCTGTCGGTTTCTTTGTTTGAATTTAGTTACTGCTCTTTGTCAGATTTAGTTACCGTTTTTTGATTCTTCAGGACTTCTCAGCTGCATTGTAACCTCTTCTACAAGATTAAATCCTCGTGTTTCTGTGCACTGCAGCACCAAGTACCAATCCAATAAATAGCCTACAGTTCTTTCTCTTACACAAAACATGAAATCTTCCAATAACTTAGAGC